AGATGTTAGAGATTTTAGACTTTAGAGAGTTTGATCTTTTGGGATTTCAACATTCAGGATTATGGCATTCAGGATTGTGTCTTTTAGCATTATGATTAACACCATACCAAGTGCATTGAGTCTGTAGAAAATAAGCCTTAAGAAGTAGGTTGGGATTAAATTTATGTTCAATGTTAACCCTTGTTCTATCAGGTAAGGAGGAGCCATTAAACGCGTCTACACAGGACTGACATGATCACATTGGATATTTAAGAACTACATCTGGCAGCAGCAGCTAAAGGACTGGCGACGTTAGAAGCTAGTTAGAAGGCTATTGCAACAATCTAGATGAAAAACGACAAGAGTCTGATGAAGGCAGCAGCCTTGTGTCTAGGAGCCAGGCGTGCGCTTGTGTGCTTTCGCAGTGGTGGTCTGCCTCCCCCACGGGCAACAACCGACATCCAGACTTGACATTCAAATCTTGAGTTTTGGAGACATCGGAGGCAGATTGTATATTAACTCAATGGAAATCAAATAGGGGAGGAGGGGGGAGTGGATGGGCAAAAACCTACCTAATGGGTACCATGAACACTATCTGGGTCACAGGCACAGTTATAACCCTGATTTAAGCATTACAAAAGTGATCCATGTAACCAAAAACATTTGTACACCATAATACTTTGAAATAAGTTAAAAAAAATAATAATAAGTGATTAGGCCATGAGGCTCTGACCTTGTAATGGATAGTGCCCTATAAAAGGGCTCGAGGGGGGTGAGTTTGCCCCTTCTGTCCCTTCTGCCTTGTGAGGACATAGCATTTGTCCCCTAAAGGATGCAGCAACATGACACCATCTATGAAACAGATACAGGGTCCTCACCTGACACTGAATCTGCTGGTGCCTTGATCTTTGATTTCCCAGCCTCCGTAACTGTGAGAAATAAATTTTTGTTATTTATTAAAAAAAAAAAAATTCTCATACTTTAGCCTAATTATTCTATATTGAAGAATTTATTCAAAGTAAATAAATTAGAAATGTATGAAAATGATCTGTATGATGTTCTATCAGCATTAATTATAATACAAAAATTTTTTTAAACCCACAATACAATTTGTTAAATAGAGTTATTTTTATTCAACATGAGGAAAATTTAAAGTGTTATTTTGCAGATATTTATTCAGGTTACTTTTTTTATTTTTTATTTCAGCATATTATGGGGGTACAAATGTTTAGGTTATGTATGTTGCCCTTGCCCTACCCAAATCAGAGCTTCAAGCATATCCATCCCCCAGACAGTGCACACCTCACCCATTAAGTGTGAATATACCCATCACCTCCTCCCCCCTCCCATCTGCCCAACACCTGATGAACTACCATTTGATCCAGCAATCCCATTACTGGGCATCTACCCAAAGGAAAACCAGACATTCTATTAAAAAGACATCAGCACACTGTAATGTTTATAGCAGCACAATTCACAATTGCAAAGATGTGGAAACAACCCAAGTGCCCATCAATCTATCAGTGGATTAATAAAATGTGGTATATGTATACCTTGGAGTTCTACTCAGCCACAAAAAACAATGATGATCCAGCACCTCTTATGTTATCCTGGATAGAGCTGGTGCCCATTCTACCAAGTGAAGTATCACGAGAATGGAAAAGCAAGCACCACATGTACTCAGGTTACTTTTTAAACATTTAAAATGCATTAAATGATTTTCACATTAGTAATTATATGTGCTGTAGTTCTCCAACTAGGATACTAGATACAGGTAGCTTCCGAGTATGGACGACCCGATTTACAGCACTCTGTACTTATGAGCTCCCAAGGCTCCCCATAAGGATAACTTATAATTGAATAATCAATTAATAATTTGGGAACTAGTTTCTTCCACACATGTAAACAAACCCACATGGCATAAGCAGTTAGTTGGCAGCTAGTCTCATAGACAGATAGAGAAGCAGCTAATAGAAACATAAGAATAGGAAGAATAAGAAGATCCAGAGCCAAGAGAGTTTATGACAAAAGAATTAGCTGAAGCCTTTCCTCTCATTAAAACAGGATTTGCTAAGATCCTAACACTGAGTGGTTTACAAAGGTTTACCTTGCAATTAGGGAGAACATCAGCTGCTATGAGGCCATTATGATGAAAAAAAAAAAAGGTATCTAGGGTTGCAAAAAACCCTAGATACCTTTTTCAAGAAACCAACTTCAGTGGTGAGCTCCCCTCCTCCAGCAACAGAATGAAACCCTGATTCTCCAGCACCCACTCCATTCTCTCCAAAACCATCTCCATCATCACCTTCCGATTACTGTTAGCTACCTTCTTACCTCAAACATGCCTCTTCCAGTAAGCAATACATTGATGCAACATTAGGTGAGTGTTAACTGTTAATATTCTTTTTGAAATTTTTCCTATCTCCCATCTAAACTTTTTGTACGAGTTTGTTTTTATGTTCTGTTTGTTTGAATTAAAAGAAAGAGCACAACAGTTTCTGTAATTTATTGTTATAATACAGGAGTATTATTATAATTATTATTATTACAGTATTACACTATATTACCACATATGAGCCATTATCATATTATTATTGTTATTATTACCGTATATGTGCCATTCATCAAGAATCTGAGTTACATACAAATCTGACCTAAGGACATTCTCAAGAAAGTAACTTATCTATAACCCAGGAACCACCTGTATATTGCTTCAGACTGTAGTTTGGTAGGTTTCTTAAGCAGTGAGAGAATTACTCAGATTTCTTCTCCATGAACTAATGCAGTATTGTTTATATCTAACTCTGCAAAGGTTTATGAAGATCCTCCTGAAAGATGTTCATATGATACCTTGAGCAGAACAATATATTAGGTCCTGAAGGGAGTCTACTGACTGGTGACCAGAAATACAAAATCATTACTAATGAGCAAATTTAAGTCCAGCCGGTTGGCCTAAGTTATAGCTCACTCATTCATTCATTCATTAAGCACCTGGCCATTAGGAATTCAAAGATAGATCAACATATAAGTGCTACAATAGAGGCTTAACTAAACAACTCAAAATAGAAAGTTCCACATCTCAGAGAGTTCAGGAAAGAATTAGCTGAACCTTGATGACTGTGAGTTTGTCAGTCAAATAAGAGAAGGCAAACCACACACAGGAAACAGCATATGCAAAAGCCCACTCACAAAAAGTCTCTCGATCAATTTTCCAATTTGGGAAACTCGGAGAACTAGAATATAGGATAAGAAGGGATGGTAGTATGAGATAAAACACATTACACCATGTTAAGAAGTCTTGATTTTTATCCTTAAGAAATAATGAGTCACTGAAGAATTTTAAGCATGCGGGCCACAATGTAGAAAAAGAACTAGAGAGAGTAAAGAAAGAGAGCTAGTCCGGGGTGAGACAGCCAATTAGAAGGCAGTTAATGACAATCAAGATAAGAAATAATAAAGACCTGGATCTAGGCAAGTGATGCTAGAAGCAGGACAAGGGGTCGGGAAACGTATTAGGGATGTAAGATCAATGGGATGTAATGATGAAGGGTGTGAAGGGAGAAGAGTGGGACAATTCCAGGTTCCTGGGTAGCCAGGGAAATGGTGTTGCCATAAACTGAGACAGAAAATATAGGTGGAGGGGAAAATCAGCAAAGAAAAATTATTTTTTATTATACATTAGTCTGTGGCGTAATGTGCCAGCCACAGGTGTGTGCCACGCAGATTAAGAGAATCTGCTACAAGGAGCACAGTTGTCCAACACTGCCACCTTCAGCTCCCAGGAGACCATGTTCTCCTCTAGTTGCCTGCTGGAGGAGAGGGACAGGTTGCTCCTCTAGCGGGCAACTTTTGATCCGGGATTCCCCATCAACCCATCCAAGACTTTCTAACAACTGTGTTGCAGTTGGAGATTCTTGTATCCAATGTGTCTTCCTCTCATGCCCACTGGACCCATGCTATGAGAGTAGGAAGCCCTTCCTTCCCTATTTCTGTTCCTTCCTTCTTTGTCCTCCACAAATATTCCCCCCAATGTATTCCCTACACCTGCGGTCCCCAAGCCCCGGCCATGGACCTGTGCCTGTCTGTAGCCTGTTAGGAACTGGGCCGTACAGCAGGAGGTAAGCGGTGAGTAAGGGAGAACAGCTTCATCTGTATTTATAGCAGCTTCTCATCATTCTCATCACTGCCTGAGCTCAGCCTCCCCCCACACCACCCCCCATCCCCACCCCACCCATGGTCCATGGAAAAATTGTCTTCCATAAAACTGGTCCCTGGTGCCAAAAACATTGGGGACCACTGCTTTACACATTTAATCCCATTTTGGCAGATGTCCCCCATTTAGACATCTTGAAGGGCCCAACAGACATAAGGCAGTATGTAGGATGTCAAATAAGCAGTTGGAACAACAAATTTGGGAGTCATTGTGCACAGGAATCACTGAACCTTGGGTAAGGATGAATTTGCTCCAAGGCTGCAGACCCTCAGGAGACACTACTACTTCATAATCCGTTGCTACATGTGCTAACAGCTGGAGAGGGGCTGTTGGCATGAGGCAGGCAACCTAAGATATTTGGAATAGTTAATGTGCATGAGGTTTTAGGTACCTTAGATTACAATGTAGCATTAGAAACATATATAGAGGAATTTTTACCACCAACCACAGTCCTAATTTTAATCTGTATATAAATGACATCCTATAATTCTTGGATCTTCATGCCAGTGTTGAAATATGAGCACTGAGCTATAGCTCCATCCTTTCCAAGTACAAGATACCGAGGGTAAAAGAGTTAACACAGGAAAAGTCAATATCCTTCAGTACTTGAGAACTAAGTGTTCCTCTACTTGGTGGAAGTCTTTCCAACAAAATGCCATCTGACTCTGTTCCAACGGCACACACTTAATCCCCTTAGCGCTGCGCTTGTGAACATATTTTTAAAGCTTTAATTGGCTATACAGATGATTATGAGGTGTGTTTGTTCGTGTTGCAAAACATTTTAATACTAGTTCTGTCCCAACCTTACCTTGAACTTCTTCCATTTCCTTCGTAATCTGCCAAATTATTATGCACACTGTTGAAACCAAGAATTGTTACTAATGGTAATGATAATGATGCAATTTTATTCATCTATCACAGAGAATTGCATCTTCATTCAGATCATCTAAATGGCTGGATTCTCTAAGTGATTACAACTTAAATGTTTAGGTTTGCAAGAATTGCTACAGTAAAACTGTTCGTGTTTAAGCCAGGTAGGTTGCCAACACTGGGCATACGCCCAGCTCTCTTGGCCTAACGATATGCTCACCTAGGGAGAAGCCACCTGGTATGGCCAAAAAAAGGAAAAACTAGGACTGTAGTTTTTAGAAAACTTGTATACTGTATACTGATAAGGAGAGAGAGACACACACACAGAGAAAGAGAGAGAGACCAAAATAATCAGGTTTGCATTACAAGTGCTTTCTAAAAATATGGTAACTCTTCTGGTCTGTCAAGAGCATATGTCTGCACTTTTTATCTCAAGACAATGGGGAGAGTCATATTACATAATCCATGAAAATTCACACTTGATATTTAAGACTATGTAACAATGGTGGGTCAATTTCAAATAACCACACTGGCAGTAGAATTCAAGCTCAATCTCTTTACATCTAGAGGTCAAATTACATTATGTATTTGCCTATAATTAATAGAAGGACTGTAAACATAGCCTAGAGATGTTTTTTATAGCCTAAATTGATCTTTCATCCAAGCATTTGTAAAAAACTTATAGTTTTTTTGAAATTACTTAGAAATCACAATCATACATTTAGTGTACAGCGCTTAGGGAAAAAAATTATTCCACATTTAATGATCAAAAAAACTCTAAATACTTAGTAAGTCTATATATTTTATTGCTCGTCAAAATTATCTTTAACATATCATCAGTATCATAAGCATTATAGCAGCAGACAATAAACATTATTCGAGATATTTGCAGGTTAGCAAACACAAGGCAAGACATAACATGCAATTGATAAAAATCCTAGCTCCCTTTAAGACATTAATGAATACTGAAAAGGTAAGACTTTATATTCTATTGTTGGTTTGTTTTATTAGAATTGGTCAAATCACAAAAACAAAAAATGATTTACCTTTATGAGCTTCTGGATCCATCAAATGATGAATTAATGGATGGCTATACATTGATGTTTTCTTGATCATTTCTTGAAAACTAGACAAATACATTAAATATCAAATTGCAACAATTAATTTTAAAATGTGTATTGAGTGTTTTTATATTTGCCTAATAAAGTTTAACAAAATATCACAAAGAAAATTATATTAAAATACCATATATCAACAGACCATGATTCAAGAAAGATCATTTAAACACTAGTACAAATCAAAATTAGAACAAAGCTTTCAGAGTCAGAAATTTTAGAAACTACTAGAGAAGGAAAGCATATTCTTCACCAGACACTACCACTTCTGTGACTAAGAAAGGCATCATCTTCTTCTTGACTAGGAAAATAACAATCCTAAAATGTAAGAGGTGATTAAAACATTGGAAAGAGCTCACTTGTTCCTGTTAATGCATCATTAGCATGTCTGCAATGTCAAACAGCCTAAGAGATGGTCTTTTGAGTAGCTTCTACCTTAAAGAGTCCAAAGCATAACAGAAAATATATTTAAAACTGAAGAAATTAAAGTATTTCATGCCTCCCAAATAGACTGTCTGAATAAGCTTAAATGAGCTTTTAGTCAGACTTTGGAAAAGAATAATTTGATGTTTTACTTCTCAATTTGGGTCATATAATAAATAATTACTGTGCTCCCATGAATTAATATAGCCCTCCTTTCTTCCAAATCCCAAAACACTTTCACAGCCACATTTTTCTTTACAGCATGCCTCAGTATATTAGAATACAATTATTTTCCCTACGGTTTATAAACAAGGAAAACCCCAAGGTTAAATTATGTCACCCACCGAGGTTACAGAGCTGAAACAATACCAAAAGTGGTCCACATTTTGCTCCCAATTTAGTATCTCTTCCCTTAAAGAAAGCAGTCTTTATTATACATGTCTGCCTGAAGGCCAATATTTAAATGGTAAGCCTAAACATACCTAAAGGAGCTGGCTGAGTTTCTAGAAGGTAAAAAGTATCATCCGCAGTTTTTGTTTTGCTGCACAGAGCTCTGGTAGTGCCTGAATGGCGAGCACCATGCACAGCTCGCCACTGTACACACTGGCAGCGAGTCCTGACAGCTGCCGCTCCTGCGCCTCTGGTTATACAGCAATGAGGCTGGAATGCCCGTGGTTAAGGGGCTGAAGAACAGTAGAAACAGTCTCATGAACAGAGCTATTAATAGAACTACTAAATGAATAAAAACCACTCCTGCAAGTGAGTGGACTATTTGGAGGAAGCAAACCATCTTTTAACTTTGATGCCAAGAGCTATTCTAAGACTCCATGATAATGACGTCCTATCAAGTGGGAGGCCACGTATTTTTCATGTCACCTGTCTGCGTGTGAACACTGTTTTTAGAACCTGACAACCACACCCAGGAATCGAATTACCATGACTCCTTCCGATTCAGACTGAATGGGCAGGCCAAGGGTGCACAGCCACCTGTGCACCTGCACGTGTGCGTATAGGTTTACATCTCACAATACTTGTAAATTTCCCATGTTGCTGAAAATGTCCTGGATGTGAAGTTACTAAAGGTAACAAAACCAAGCTATATTGTAAAATTCAACTTAGGAGTGTCAGTTTAGCTTCTAAGAAATACTTCATATTCCATGACATAGACACAGTTGAATCAAGGTCACTTTAATATACTGGAAAGAACTAGTAGGAGTTGGAAGCCTGATTTTATTTATTCCTGTCAATAATTAGCTTGTGATTTTAGGCTGTTTACTTAGTATGCTACTTGGCTTTATTACCTATAAATAGGAATATAAAAGGCATACAATATATTTGTGGGGTGAATAATATAGGTAAAAACCATTCTAGAAAGTTCAAAATCCTTAACAATGTAGACTATTATTCACAGGCAGTTAATTTGGGGCAGAGGACACACTCTTTTTGTTTTTTTGCTTTTTAAACAAGAATAAAGAAGCACTTGATGAACAAAAATTGTCTTTTTCAAGGATTTATTTGAAAGACCTTGCAATCCTCACTGCTACATTTCTAAAGATGCAGAATCCCTAAATCAATCATCTTAACCAACATGAATACAATGATCATTCCAGTTACAATTAACTGTTTAAAAAGTACATAGAGACTTTTGCCTCCAGCTGTAAGTGGTTTACAGCAGACCTCAGCTTCTATTAAGAACCAGAAAAGCAGGTTTTTAAACACACACACAGGCTTCTGTGAGAAAATATCAGAGAGCTGTCACGGCAGCCAAAGATTCCAGGCATTGTTGATTCTCGGTGAAAGGAAAGAGGCTGAGAAGTCAAAGAGAGGGCCACGTGTTAAGAATACCAGCAAAGCTTCCAGCAATCTCACACAACCCGGGAGACAAGAGAGTTGTGTTTGGGGCCAGGCACAGTGGCTCACATCGATAATCCCAGCACTTTGGGAAACTGAGGAGAGAGGTTTGCTTGAGGCCAGAAGTTCAAGACCAGCCTGGGCAATATAGCAAGACCTTGTCTCTACAAAAAAATAAGACAAATTAGCCAGGTATGGTGGCACGTGCCTGTAGTCCCAGCTACTCAGGAGGCTGAAAGGGAGAGGAACACTTAAGCCTGGGAGTTTCAGGTTGCAGTGAGCTATGATGACATCACTACTGCACTCTAGCCTGGGCAAAAAAAGTGAGATTTGTCTCAAACATAAAAGTAAAAATGTTGTGCTTGGGGCTGGCAAGGCAGCCAGGAATTGAGGGCCCAAGATCCCAGAAAAAAGGGACAGAGAAGTAAGCCTGACACTCAGCACTCACTTTTCACTCAAAGCATTTACTGATTAAGCTGTTTAGGGCAAGAGGCTAACCTTTGAAGCATTAAGTGGCAAAAAGCAGGGCCAAGCTCAAAAGAAGAGAGAAACACCCTAGGCTTTCAATGGGTACTTCTGGAAAACTACTTTCTAGGAATGGGCGGACCCAGAAGCTGGAGTCTTACAAAGATTGCAAACAAAGCTTGAATCACTTGGTCCTGACTAGATTGAGGTGATCTTCTCCCTGCTGCTGCCTGTCAGAATACCTTCTGGAATCCTCTCTAAAGGGAGGTCCAGAACATCTATAATTTTTCATATACAACATCCAGCATTCAGTCAAACTTTACCAGGCATACCAAGAAACAAACAATAGAAATAAACTCTGACAGAGACATTGAGTTAGCTGACACAGATTTTACAGTAACTGTGATTAAGATGTTCAAAAATCAGATGACAAGAATTATACTGGAGAACTGGAATGCATAAAAAAATGAGTCAAATAGAAAAAACTGAAAAATAACAATAAATGAAATAAACTCAATATATGGTTTTAACAGCAAATGTAGATAAAGCTAAAGAAAAAATTGAGCTGAAAAATAATTTTACAGAAAGTGTACATGATGTTCATCATTCTAAATAAGTTATAGGTACACTAACTTGATTTGAATAATGAAAAATTCGCTTTGCTGATTATTTTAAACAACCTATTTTATAGGTAAAATAGCACCCTGGAATTTTGAGTTAGAAGATTTGGGTTCCAGTCACAAATTTTACCTACTAGATGAGTAAATTTGGTAAAGGTGGTTAATATCTCCAGTTTCTTCCCTTACAAAAGGATTATACCTTGGTCACAGGGTTAAGAGAAAAAGAAGATATATAATGCCAAACTGTTCTACAAATACTGTACTGTGACACATGTTTCTAATGGTCCTGACTATCCATTTCCTCCTCATGCCTAGGCCCATAGACCAGGTAGACAGGAATCCCATTTCCGAGCATATCTAGGTTTGACCTCATGCCCAGGTCAATGAGATAGGAGAAAAGTGATTGTTTTAGTCACCCTTAACATAAGACATTCTGCTTGCCCTGGGCTTTGGTTCTTTCCCCTTCTGGCAGGTTGCAGT